CATATCCGATAGAGAAAAAAAAACACAGAAGGCCATATTCCTTAAACGGAAGCGCCGTATAGTTTTAAACTACGACTAGTTCAATGTCGCGTTTTTCCTTTGTACCACGAAGTGCGACCGAGGCTCCTACGGCTGTAGAAACGCTCTCAGAAATTCAGGGAACGGGGACGCAGCGGCAGGTAACCGTGGCTGCTGAGAAATCGCCGGGCGGCTCGGGTCATTTCGAGTTGATCGCGCGTGCGTCCGCAAGCCACTGTTGTCCACTGCGCCTCTAACTGTAACTGCATCAGAAACAACGAAAGAATAAAATAGTAATATGTTTCTCTTCTTTTCTTTCAATTTGATTTAACACGCTAAACTTTCCGTTCAAGCCATTGGGTATTGACATTGTAAAATGAAGAATTTATTAAAGATGTATTATGCAGTCATTATGGGCATCTTAATACTATTGCCGTGGCATTGATGAATAGATCATTAGCGATGATAATATGTTGTTCGAGCTATTTGAGATTGATTATAGAATTTTCGAAGACTTTTGAGACGAAACTTAGCGATTCAATTCCAAGAGTTGTACTAGTTTGAGGGTGTTGATAGTGAGTTTGCGAGCCTTTGAGTCAATTTGTTTAATACTTGAAACTGAATGGGAGAATAGTCGGACTAGGGGAGGGAGGAAGGAGGGTTAATCAAGAGAATAGGAGAAAAAGAAAATAAAAGAGGAATATGTACTGCAGAAATAGTACTGCTAATTTATAGAGTAGATGAAGTGATTAAGGAATGTTGAAGTGAAGACTCTGTAGTCAAAGAAGATACAAGAGGAATATGTACTGTAGACTGATAGAATAGATGAACTGATTAAGGAATTTTTAAGTGAAGATTTTTGAGTGAAAGAAGATACAAGAGGAATATGTACTGCAGAAATAGTACTGCTAATTTATAGAGTAGATGAAGTGATTAAGGATTTTTGAACTGAAGACTTTGGAGTCAAAGAAAATAAAAGAATATGGACTGTAGACTAATTGATTAAGGAATTTTGGAGTGAAGAGTTTGGAGTCAAAGAAACTAAAAGATGAATACGTACTAATTTATAGAACAGATAGATTAATCAAACTTTTGAAACAAAGATTCTACTCATTCTGAACGTAAACTATCTATCTTAACAAGAAGGCTGTAGACTGAAGACTAGTCCTACCTCAACTTCCAACCCTCTATCACCCCTTACCCTACTATAATTTCTATTCAATCAACAAACAACCATACTCTACACAATTAATATTCAACCCACAATAGACTTCTAAAACAAACCAATCAATCAAGTTACATCAAACATCTCCAAATCAAGGACATCACTATGAACAGCCTACACACGTTCTTACGTAACATTTCTCAGAACTCTAATCAACCGTGATTGAATTAATCGAATAAACACACTCCACTGAAGAACCCACCTTACACCTATGTCGTCTCGAATTTAACACTAGGTTTACATTTATTGTACTCTATTATTCCTAAGAGAATCGATGCTCGTTTATTCAGATTATCGAAATATTGTAATAGGTAATCGGGGTACAGACAAGACACACCCACCCAACGACTTCCGAACGCATATCTATTGAGGATAATGTTAATTGACTCAAGGAGACCGCGAGAGGAGACAGAAGAAACGAAAAAAAGAGAGACTCACCTTGGCACGTTTGACTGGCCTGAGTGGCAGAGGGCTGAGAATACAGCAGGGACTGTCGAACGCATCAAACGTGATCGCCCTCTTGGCGCTAGGCTTCCGCTGTACGGACGCAAAGTCGTGGGAAGTCTGGAAAGGATAGACACACTAGCTACAGCCGGCAATTAAAAAGTATTTCCGCTTCGAAACAGTCCTACTTGACAGTGTTTGTGCTCAGAAAATGAAAATGAAACTGGAGCGACGCGACACGACGATCGCGGTTCTTCCACCTCGGTGTCAAAGTGACCGACGGGGGGAAAGAGCGACAGAGATGCAAACAAACATGTCGGTAGAGACAGAACAGAAAGACAGACAGACAGATTTACACGGAAAGAAAGAGAAGTGTTCGTGGGGCTTTTAGCAACAGAATCGGAGGACTCCGTTTGACTCGTCCTTGCAACGTATTTTC